CTATTCCTTCCCAGGTGAAAAAAATAAGAACACTGCCATTTTTCCTAAATCCTCTAAAGGAGAAACATAAGGCACCAAAGGGGAAAGGATTAGAAGGCAATAACATAATCAATAACAAATAGTTCATTGATAATCACGCTTCCGTTTAACCGTTCATCAATGCATTCAGGTATGTTATTTTGTCTTGATTTCTTGATAATACACATGGTAAATGATCCAAAGTGTAAGGTTTATGTTCTGAAATTTATGTTAACAATTGGTATCAGAGCATACATATCATGTGTCTTATTAGAATTGATATGCTTTATTCATTCTATTTAGTTTCCTGGAATCAGATTCTGAATTTTCTTATGGATGTAAATTCTGTTTTTTCCTGTTTTGTTCTGTGAAAATGGCAATCTGTCTTCTGGAATTGTAAAATGATTCGGTGGGCAGTTTTTTTTTTCCTCTCAAATGGATGAACATCATGTATTTATATATATATAGATATATCTTGCGATTTGATCGGTTTAATTTTGAACATCATAAAAAAAAAAACTATTTGTTTTTGGACCCGTCAATTCTATTTATATATGTATATATATAATTGGAATTGCTGCAGATTATATAACATATACGGAGTCACAAATTTAGAAATCTTTAAATTTAATGTAATTTCATACAACGTCTACAGAAATTTAATTTTCTAACATTCTCAATATAAGTCAATTCAAACAAGATGTCACAAAAGTGATCTCTCTTGTCTAGATTGTTTTATATGGAATGTTTTGAAGTTCATGTCTGTGTATCTCATGCGGGTATTTATCGGTCCAAAGACATGATTAAGACTTGGCAGAATTACACACACATTTTGTGGTGATAAACATGTGCCAATTGTCAAGAAAACCTAATGTGAATAAAAATCCATCAAAAGATAGATTTGTTATTTGACATAACTTATTGTCAATGTTTGATCATTACAACAAGAATACCACTTACAGTTAATATCACTACCCAAAGGCTTGGTATTAATGTTGTGCTAGGTATCTTGAGATGTTGTCATTAAATTAATTTATTTAGAGATTATCTGTTTGGTAACTTAATGTGACTACTTCAATCTCTGCCAACATGAACAATGTTCTAATATTAAATGGAACAAACTTTAAGGACTGGAAAGAGAACATATTGATTGTTCTCGGCTGCATGGACATAGACTTGGCATTAAGGATGCCAAAACCGAATGCTCTCACTGCACAAAGTACTCCTGAGGAAACTGTGTACTTTGAAAAGTGGGATCGTTCTAACAGGCTAAGTCTTATGATCATGAAGCGTGGGATTCCAGAAGTTTTTCGGGGTGCAATAACAGAGGATGCTACCGTTGCCGGTGAATTTCTGAAAAGCGTTTTGCTAAAAACGATAAGGCTGAAACAAGCACGCTTTTAGCAAGCTTGATTTCAATAAAGTATAAAGGCAAGGGTAATGTTCGCGAGTACATCATGGAAATGTCTCATCTTGCTTCAAAACTTAAGGCACTAAAGCTCGACAAAATTAAAGCATATTGATATCAAGTTCCTAGTTGTAAAAGAAAGAGTGCAGAGTGGACAAATTTCCATGGAGCACATTGGGACAAACTCCATGATAGCGGATCCACTTACGAAGGGACTACCACCCAAGGTCTTTCATGAGTACACTGCTCAGATGGGTGTTGTTCTATTTGAGAACATTCTGGTTTAGTGGGAGTTTGTATTTATATTACTGCTGTATGTCAGCCTTGGGTTTTATCTATGTAATTAGATTAATTTCTGCAGAAATGAAATATTCAGTTTATTACGCTCTGTTACGTATTGTGAAGTATTGATCTCAATGAAGTTAAGTAGGATCAGTTGGAAATAGGCATGTATGAATCACATCACATGTAATTTCCATGCTACGTATCCATGATTGATCTATGTCATTTAGCTGTATTAGTATACGTGACCATTGGTGGGGCGAGTTACGATTGATGTAACGAAGACCGCTTTGATCCTATATTAATATAGTTAATGGACAAGATTGTTTGGATATCCTCATCCGTCTTCACCGTGTGACTTGCCACGCAGCAAGGAACACGTCACCTCTTCGGACCCAACCCAATGGATACCCTCAAGTTATGATAACAAATTTCTGAGCTCATTAAAGTTAAGCACATTTTTCATGATACATATGTGGTCCAGTGGGAGATTTTAGATAATGTCTCAATGGGACCACATAATTAAATGTGGTGTTATCATTTATAAGAAGTCTACAATTTAAGTGATTCAATTTAGTTAATAGGCTTAAGGGTATATTGTTATGGTCTAATGTGTAGATACTAGTTGTAAATATTCTATTTCTATGAGGGGCAGAAAATGAAATTAAAACATATTGGTTAAAGTTGGTTTTCATTCCTTTTGAACTTCCACAACCTTTCAGTTTTGAAAACCAATAAATAGAAATTAAAACCAATAATGGTTAAATTGGTTTTCATTCCTTTGAACTTCCACAACCTTTCAGTTTTGAAAACCAATTCAACCTTTAAAAGGTTATGGTCCCTATTCTTCCCAGGTGAAAAAAACAAGAACACTGCCATTTTTCCTAAATCCTCTCAAGGAGAAACATAAGGCACCAAAGGGGAAAGGATTAGAAGGCAATAACATAATCAATAACAAAGAGTTCATTGATAATCACGCTTCCGTTTAACCGTTCATCACATGGATTCAGGTATGTCATTTTGTCTTGATTTCTTGATAATACACATGGTAATGATCCAAAGTGTAAGGTTTATGTTCTGAAATTTATGTTGACATTCCCAACCACATTTTAACGTTTTTGGCACTTGTATTTTTAAATATTTTATCCAAAATATAACTTTTTATTTTGTTCTCAAAATGACACGCAATAAACAAAGCAATAGAGAATTGCTTGATGCAAGTATAGGCGCCTATTCAACAATTTAATCACTTTTGAGGAAGACATAACATTTTTCCAAAATTGGATTTTTATTTTATTTTTTGACTTTACCAAACAAAAACTCAAAATTTTTCTAAAAATATTGAGCTCAAAAAGTGGCACCAAACATGGTGATTGATTTTTCTATTTGTAAGGTTTAACTAATTTGAACTAATGTAAATATTGAATAAATAAAAATAAATATACATTTTAGTAGATAAGAGGCGCTAATGTCAGTTTTTATTCATACAACTAACATTATTTATAAACATTTTATCCATATATATATGGAAAATGCTATAAATTTCAAATAATCTACTAAATATTTTACCAAATCTCTCACATGGGTGTGAGACCCACATAATACCAAATCTCTCACACGAGTACCCACATGACCCACATTGTGTGGGTTCACACCCATGGGAGATTTAGTAAAACATTTGATAGATTATTTGAGATCTCTAGCATTACTCTCTCTATATAATATTAAGAGAATTTATAATTCTTCACATTTTTCTTCAATTAAATTAAATTTGATAAAAAAACATTTAAAAATAATTTAAATTTGATAAAATAAATTTG